AGAAAGACTCATCCAGTTTCCCTCTGCATACTTGTGCATTTCTAAGAGAAAATAAGTCATAGAAATATTATGTGTGTGTTTAGTGGTGATATTTTGTCACAGCTGCCTTCCAAGGAGCTCATGATTTTGGCCATGTCCCCTTGTTTTCACACTGATAATAAACCTGTGAGGTAGAGCGATGGTGGCCAGATTTGTCCATGCTCACATGGTGAAATTTATGGCTAAGCTGACACTTTATGCCCTATCTCTCTAATTATAGTTCACCACTATACTACTGTGTTTTGGGTTTAAAAAAAAAAACACCTTAGGTTATCTCAGTGCATTGGTAAGTATACATGAAATAGAGCTTTCACTAAGATTATGTATTTTCCTAAACATGTAACAAGAAAAGAGTCCTTCAAGAACTTTTTAGTGTCCTGTCTTGGGTTCTTCATGGGGTTTTTCGGGGGGATCTGGGAAGTCTTATATTTGTTTACAAATAAAACAGTCATTGGTGACTCTCTATTGGATTATTAATGACATACATATCCCATCATCCACACCCTCTGTTATGCTGGGTAAGGTTGATGAGAGTTGTAGTCCAACAATGTCTACAGAGTCACTTTTGTCCACCCTGTCCTAAATTTTCTACCTGCCCTTTTTCTGGAGATCCTAGGTTTCTCCCCAAGGAACAAGATAAGTGTCATCTTGCTCCATTTTCTTTTTAATTCCCACAGGAAGCCTATTCTGTGATTTTGATCTTGGGGAACATATTTCTTTGTTTCTTTTCTTTTCTTTTGTACTATTGCTAGCCAGCTGCTATTCCATCCAGGTAGCCAGACAATGGCCTTCTTTTCTTTTTGGAACGTTTCTACTTTAATAGAGGATATTTTTATAGGTGCCCCTTTTGTCCTGATAAGATGCTTTCTTCACCAAGAATGTGCCAGGCTCCATGCAGTCATGTCTGACAAATGGTGTGGATGAAGCAATAAGGGAAATGTGTTTTGGATATTGCCATGGAGAGGCCATTTTGTTTCACTTCCTACGGAAGATGTACCGTATTTTCCAGCGTATAAGATGACTTTTTGACCTTGGAAAGGATTTTAAAAGTCGGGGGTCGTCTTATACACCGGGTAGAGAAGGAGGAGGATGAGAA